CAAAGTATTTCATAAGAACTGGTTTTCATAATTCTCACACTGAACCCAGTGGGTAGAGATTATTGTCAATCTCATTTTACAGATGTTGGACTCAGCAACGTTGAAACATTCTAGCCCTATTTGTGTTCCAGGAATTTTGCTAATAATTCTGCATTTATAGTTCATTTTGGGATGCAAGAATCCCAACCCTATTTGAACCCCAGATCCTTGCTCCACTTTCTATTTTCTGCCCTAAGGTTTGGGTTGGGGGAGTCTTTCCCCAATTTCCTCCTTCATTTCTCTAGACCCCAACCCAATTTCAAGAGGCTCCCACTGCTGTGTAGATCTACCCTGGAGTCCTGGGTCTTCTTGCCAGCATTTATCAAAACTGCAAGGAGGTTCTGTTATGTAATCCTGGTGACAAAAAGACAGTCCCTTCTGCCAGGAGACCTCTAAGCAAAGATTCTCTTGTCTGCCTGCTCTGTCAAAGGCAGTATTGATAAAGAGCACGGGTTCTGGAGCCAGAAGATTTTGTGTTGGAATCTGAGAGTTATCAGTTTTTAGCTAGATGAACTTGGGTAAAACAATTGGATATTGTGCTAGTTTGAATATAATTGGCCCCCATAAGCTCACAGGGAGTGGCAATATTAGGATGTGTGACTTTGTTGGAGTAGGTATTGCTTTGTTAGAGGAAGTGTGTCACTGTAGGGGTGGGCTTTGACGTCTCATATATGTTCAAGTCACACCAGTGTTTCAGGCCACTTCCTGTTGCCTACATATCAAGATGTAAAACCCTCAGCTCCTTCTCCAGCACAATGTTGGCCTTCATGCCACAATATCCTACCATGATGATAATGGGCTAAACCTCTGGAATTGTAAGCCACGCTATTAAATGTTTTCCTTTGTAAGTGTTGCCATGATCATAAGGTCTCTTCACAGCAACAGAATCCCTAACTGAGTCAGATATTTATGATTTGATCACCAGGATTATAAAATGGGAATAACAACAGTATGTACTTTAAAAAGTTATTCTGCAACTGAGATTAACTCTTTAAGCAGAATGATTAACAAAATTCCCAGAACACAACAAGCACTTGTGTACCTGTTGGCTAATATCACTATTAATATTGATATCTTTTACAGAGTCCTCATAGATTTTAGGCCTTGAAGAAAAGTGTACAAATCATCTGGTTGGCCCAACATCCTGTGCTTTGACAAATAGAAGATTTGTAAACAGGCATTTTGAATTCAAATCTCAGATTTACCACTTACTTCTGGTATCTATCACTTTGAACAGCTTATTGGACCACTCTAGCTTCTTTTACTGAAAGTGTAAAGCAGTGGTTGTAATAATAAATAATAAATGTTGGCCTATTTCCTAGAATTGTAAGGATCAGGGAAAGGGATGCCTTGAGAAAAGAAGGTGAATTTTGCATAAATAATAATTGGTTGGTTCCAGAAGACAAACACCATCCAAACGGATTGAATTGTAAAGTCCTCCCTGACCGACTGGCCTCAGCGACTACAACCTGTGTTGCAGTCTCCGTTGTCATATTCCTGTGACTAGGCTGGGAAAATAGGCAGCTGTCCTTAAGCTAGTGAAGACTTGGAGCCAAGCAAAAACTGTTACAATGACCAGACACATCTAACAACAACAACAAAAGATAAAACACTGAGGTATCATGGTACCAAATGACAAAAAATTAAGATCTTGGAAATGAAACCAAGGTAAGCCATGAAGAAACTCTAACCACAGAGAGAACATGAACAGGTCACATCAGCCAAACATGGGTACAATATAGTTATGAGGGTTATGAGCAAACACTATGTATTCAACTCTCCCTCGAGCTGTCTAACTTGAGGACAAGAATCATTTACTCTCCCAGTTACTCACTTGGGAATATTTATGGAATTGTCTCTAACCAACCCTCCTGGTGACGACATAGCTCACTCACTTCTTCCTAATATCGGACACTTCCAAGTTTAATGAATGAACCACTTAATATTGCCTGCCTTAAAAACCTCAGTTAAAGCTAGGCAAGGGCTTCAGTCTGTGTAGCCAGGTCTCCTTCTGAGATCTTTACGTTTTAAACTGTGGCAGAAGTTTTGGGACAAAGGAACTGCTAGCAGCTTTGTTGCACATCACCATCGCCATTTATTATGCAGATGGGTTTTCTGCAGATGGAATAAAGAGTAGAACCAAGGCATAAAGCAACACAGAAAATGCTTGCAGAGTGAGACATGAAGCCTTTAGTGCTGTGCCATGAGTTCCTACCATCCATAGCTATCTGTGCATTTCCCGTCTCACAGTTGATTTCCATTTGGCTTGCACTAGTTCTCCCTCTGCTATGTGTTTTCTGTCAAACCCTACTTAATTCTTTTGTCTTAGTCATTTTTCTGCTGTTGTGATCAAATCTCCAGCACAGGTAACTTAAAGACTGGAGGGTTTATTTTGGTTTATTGTTCTAGGGGACAATCCATCATGACATGGAAGTCACAGTGGTGAGGAAGTCGTGGCCATGGGAGTTTGAGGCAGCTGGTGATAATGTGTCCATATTAGAAGACAAATCCTTATTCACATCTTCACACACACACGCACACGTACACGCACATGCACACGCACACACACATGCACATACACATGCGCCCAGGACCCAAGACCCAAGCCTAGGGAATGATGCTGCCTTCTTTCAGTGTGGGCTTTTCCACTTCAACAAACCTAGTCAACATAGTGGTTAAATAATCTCTCACAAGTGTATCTAGACATTTGTCTCTTAGGTGACTCCAGATCGTGTCAATATCACAGTTAACACCAACTACCACATATTTCTATAAACTAGCTCAAGACAGCAATACAGGTCTTCTTAGGGCTTTATCATAAGACACTGGGAGCTAGGAAGAAGCCATTGGGCAATATTTAATTTACTCACATAGATTTCTTTCCTGTGCCTGAGGATTTCTTGTCTTCGACCATGCTTTGACACCTTGCCTCCTACACAGCTTCTTCCTTCACCCAAACTGACATTTGTGATTCAAACTACCAGACTTCATGTATATTCAGGCCTACTTGACACCACAGGAACCATCTGGTTTAGCTTTCAGGTATATGAACTGAGCTAAGTAAAAGTTGTACCCTTGTTCATTCCTGGAATTCAGACTTCTCACTGGTACTGCAACTATTGGACAAGATCCCCTCCCTCCATCACTTGCTTCTGTTCTGTGACATCCTTTTGTGAACATGTCTTCAGGAATTTCCAACTTTCCCTACTAGCAACACCTCACTCTAATGAGAGCCAGTCTTGAAAGGCAATGCATCTCTTTTGGGCCATAAGGTAAATATATTTTAATGCAATTGTTTTTACTCATGATGCAGGGTAAGGCAAACACTGCATTGAAAATTTCTGGAGGGTATGCCCTCATGTAGGTAAAAATTTTATGTGAAATATATCATTTTTCTTAATACAGAATATAGAAAAGCCCCAATGTAATAATTTTACCATCTTGACGGATACATAGAAAATAATGAGCTGGATTGAGGCAATGGAAAAGTTAGAGAACCAGCCACATTTTCTCTAACATTTTAATAATCTGAATTTATATCTAATAAAGTGTTGACTAGTGAGTGTACATCACAATGTATTTTTGTATCAGTAGGTGTGCACCTGTGCAACGACCATGTAGGGCAAGGTTTACAACATCTTCCATACTCCATGAGACTTCCTTGTGTCTCCTCCCAGACCATAGTTACCTCCACTTATCTTCAAAGTCCTTATCTTCAAAGATAAACAGCTTTCTGACCTCAAGCATTGATGAGCTTTGCAGATCTTGAAACCTCAAACAAGTGTACTCCTAAACCATATGTTTCATATTGTGAGCATTCTTATATACATCTCTTGAAACACATAACCTCTTCTTTATGCTGGATCTTTATCCAGGTGTGTCACACAGAACAACTAGACCCAGCTTTACTAGATAATGTCAAATAGTTTTCCAAAGAGATTGCTTCAAGTCCATGCTGTAGGAGTTTAGTTCAATGACCACTGAGTCCCTAGTGTGGGCCAGGTGTTCCTTTAATTGTTGGGGATATTAGAGGAAGTTGGTACAAGCATGATCTACAAGTCCTAATAGATTGATATCAACACCAACCCATGTGTTGTGTGCACTAGTGTTCAGCAGTAAATATACTAGGGAAACCCTTTGGGACTCTGGGTGGGCCTCCAAAGGCTTAGCCAAGTGCGCAGGGTTTGGTTTTTGAAGGAAGAGTTGCTCCTGGCTACGTGGATGCTGTGGGCCCTTCCTCAGCTAGAGCAGGCGGGGCTGTCAAGAGTGAACAAATGGCTGCCAAGATGAGCAATGATTTACAGGAGAAGGTTGAGACATCGGTGAGATGAATACCACGGACTCCACTGCCATCCTGGAAGCAATTCATCAGGGCAGCTTGGCAAAGAGGGGCATAAATCCCCAGCCAGGGAGACCAAGTAGGGTTGCGCAACAAGGAGGAAGATGTGGGATGTGAGGCAGCCTCCGGGGCTGCTGCTACTGAGCCTGCCGACGTCAGGAAGAGCTAAGTTTGCAGGAATCCTCAGAGGTGAGTTTTACAGGGAGGGTGCCTCCTCTCCTGAACATGAAGATGTGCTGCATGGTCACTAGCACCCCTGCAGCTTTCTTAAGAGAGCTCTATGTGGAGTTTGGCTCAAATGATATACTTTATTATTTTACTTCTTAGTGAAAGAGGAAGATTCAGAGTGGGTTTGAAATGCAAGTCTTCTCCCTCCTCTCAGCTTCTCAGACACCATCCTCCTGCAGTCTCAGAAGGATGGAAACCGGGTAAGCCACCAGGAACAGAGCATGGAGTGGGAACAACAGAGCACATGAGTGAATGAGGGATTTTTATGAGTGAAATTGCTCACAAGCTCCTTTAATAATGTTATTCATCTTTCTGTCAAAGTCGTCACATTAATGTAGCGGGGAGAGATTTAGGGGAGATGAATTAAGACTTAAATACACAAAATGACTTGGGGAATATTTAAATACAATACATTTTATGTTGGTACGGCATCCTTTGTCACGGTGTCGTTCATGACTCTTGCCTGGCTGGCACAGCCTGGGAATCAACAAGTCCCTCCTCTTCGCCCGCACTTCCCACACATCCAGGGCTCTTGCGGTACACCTAGTGTGTGGAATTGAGACAGTCTCAGTGGAGCGTGGCAGCAGGCCCTGGCTGGTCAGGAGACCCGGTGTTTGTTCAGGTTTAAACAGGCCGCTTTTCCTTGAGGGACCTCAGTTTATTTGCTGAGAAAATAAGGCAAGTATCCCTCTGAATGATAAAGGAGGCAGAGAGACTTTCTTCTCCTTCTTGGGGAAAACTGCAGCGGCACAAAGGGAAGATGGATGCTGTTCAAGCTTTCTCTCTCCTTCTGCAGCAGCTCTGGCCTGCCTACTTTGATATGCTGACAGTTATAACCTCTTTCATTAATTAAAGCCCTTTGTCTTTAAAAATTAAATTCCCTTCCCTTTCTTAAAAAACTATAAATTTATTTACTTACTTACTTATTGTATGTGTGTGTGTGTGTGTGTGTGTGTGCACGTGTGCGTGTGTGCCTGCCTACCTGCCTGCCTGCCTGTCTGTCTGTCTGTACTTGTGTGGAGGTCAGAAGACAACTTTGGGGAGTCTGTTCTCACCTCCACCTTGCTGAAGCAGGGTCTCTCTTGTCTATGCCTCTGTGCTGCCCCACTAACTGGCCATCAAATTTCTAGGTGATTCTCCTGTCTCCACCTCCCATCCTTCTTTAGGAATATGAGGATTATGTCACCACATCCCATTTGTTTAAACACAGGTTCTTGGAGTTGAAATCTAGCCATGAGGCTTGTATCTTTACCTGCTGAGTTCCATCTACCCTGTTCCATCTACTGTCTTTTCTTTCCCTCTTTCACCCTCTCTCCCTCCCTCCTTTGTCCCCCACCCCCCACCAATCTCTCGTGCCTTCTTTGCTGCACCCCCTTCTTCCATCTTTCTGTGGATATTTGGTAAGCCCCTTCTCTGAACAAAAGATTGTGCTCAGAGTATGTCAGCAAGCACGTCTGACATGGCCCCTGCCCTCCTGGTGGGCTAGTCCAACGCCCACGTTCCCTGGACATATGACTTGGTATAAGGCTTGTGTCTAGCTGGGATTAATCATGGAAATCTTGCTGAGAAGGAGGCTTCCACAGCCATCGGTCTCTCTGTTTGCTGTGCACAGGGGGCTTTCTTTGGATGTACAGAGCTAGTTATCCCAGTGGGAATGGGGAGTTTCAGCTTTAGCTACAGAGAGAGTAAAGTGAAGGCATCAGACTAGAAACTCAAATGAGAGGCAAGGACAGTTCAGACACCATAATCCTCCGCCTTGGTCCATCTTCCCACTGTCTAACCTGTCCTGAATCAGGAGCTGGAGTCCTGGGAGGCTGGAGTCCTATGCTCTTATTGCACCTTCAACCTCTACCATCTTCCGTACGCAGCCCTCCATCTCTCCCCATCCTCTGCTCAGTGGGTGGAGGAGGAAAACGGATGCCTTTCTGGATGGGAGCTCTCAGCCAGCCCGCCTCTCTCACTCCTCTCTGGGCATTACTGAGATTGCTGTGAGGACATTGGCAGGCAGCCCGATGAAAAGTCACCAGAGAGGCCCTTGGGACCCAGCCCAGCCTTGGAGCTGAGTCACCAGAACCTTCCCCCAGAGGTGTATGCTACCCTGGGAACCAAGGAACCCTGGGAACCAAGCAGTTCCTGATGTTTGTTCCTTCAGCTCCTCCCTCCATCAATGACATTCTGTTGAGAATCTGGTTATCATCCAGATTGTCCCCCACTCACTTGAGAGGTTGAATGGCCTTACCTCCATACAGGCCACTGTCGGGCTAGAGGGTATGAGCTATGGGATATGTCAGCTATGGGATATGGGGCACTTCTGATCATTACTGTGATGAGAGACTGAATTAGGTACCCTAAATCATGGAGGTCCATGTAAAAGAAACCTCCAGAAAGAGGACTGTACATGGCTGTGGGCATAGCAGAGCTGAGGCTCCACTGAAGAGAGAGACCAGGTAACCACCCACCTTACTCTGGGTCTCTAGGAGGCACTAGGGTAAACAAGGGAAGGAAGAAGAATCTGGGGACTACAGGAACCTAAGCCACTCAGAAATAATCTATGGGTGATTTCCTACTTGACACAAGTATAGATTATTCAGAGAAAGAATCAGAACTCCCCAGAGGGAGTGACTCTTTCCACTGTCAGTGGAACATACCATCCTGAAGTGATGGCCCAGAAGGGTTAAGAGGAAGAAGGAGAAGGAGGAAGGTGTACACTATCTCATTCTGGAAAATATGGTATTAATTGGTCCAGAAGACTCAAGGAGATGAGGTACAACCCAGATAACAGAGCCATACATTTCTTTAGCCCCTCACCACTACCTCCTCTAGGGGAACATCTTAAGCCCATGCATGCTCCTTCAGAGTTCTTAATTCCCCTCTTGCCCATCATCTTGCTCACCTTTTCACTGAGTGAGAAGATTTGGGCATTGCAAAACCCACTCTCAAATATTTCCCCTTGAACTCTTGGGATCAAATGCTAGGGACAGAGACTCCTCACAGGTAGACCTCACTTCCACCATGCTATTTATTCAAATCACCTTCCTTAGCAGCAGCCATGGCTGTGTGCTGGGCCATCCGCAGTCTTACTGGGGTCCCATTGCTTCAAGGGGGTATGCTAGCAGGTCGTCTGGCTGGGGAGAGTGTTCCTTTTTTTTTTTTTTTTTTTTGGTTTTTACGAGACAGGGTTTCTCTGTATTGTTTTGGAGGCTATCGGTCCAGCCCGGCCTCGAACTCACAGAGATCCGCCTGCCTCTGCCTCCCGAGTGCTGGGATTAAAGGCGTGCGCCACCACCACCCGGCGGGGAGAGTGTTCTTAAAGAACTGAGACCTGCAAGCTGAGAGTGTATGAGAGCCAAGTCTCAGAGAAGTGACAACTGTGGCTTTTTTCTCCTTGCCTGCCCCACCCCCTGCCCCCACAAAAAGGCAGGATGAATCTATAGTAAAGTCAATTGATTGTACACATAACCAAAAGAGACATAGTCAGTGGCTGCCAGGCTTCCAAGAGCAGTGAGGGGGAATTTGCTTCTGGAGCCAAGAGAGGTAGGAGATGACTGCAAGAAGCCATGACAAGGCTTGTACCCCAAGGCTGTATTCCATTGGTTCCTATAAGAGAAAGTCTTAGGACCAGGACAGGGTGCCTCTGATGTCATGAAATAGAGCCAGCCAGCTCAGTTTTATGTGTGTGTGGAGGGCCGGCTGTAATACTCAGGTCTTGCTCATGCTTGTATTGATGGATTCTTCTACCCAGTCTCCATCTTTTAGGTTCATGGAAAGAATCATTCAATCCTCCAAATGAAAACTGGAATGCAAGAGCAAGCACTTCTACCCTTGGAATGGCTCACCTCTTTATCACCTGGCCCTTGCCTCTGCCTGTCTGTACTCCTACAGTGTTGATGAGCCCAACATCATGACTTTGCACATTATTGAGCCTTAGACAGATGGCCGTCAACTGCTGGGTGACAGAGTAAATTCAAGTGGCCCTGGGAGGCCTTCTCAAGCAGCAGACAGGCAATTTATAAGAAAGAACTTTATGAAACACCTGTTGACAGTGAAGCTATTATTCTGTTATTATTATTGTTGTTAGTAATGATACAGCACTGTTCTGCTCTAAGAGAATAGATTGTGGGAATGACTTTCAGAGAATACAGCTCCTTTGGAGAGTAGCCCCCTGGAAATATAATGAGAGAGAGAGAGAGAGAGAGAGAGAGAGAGAGAGAGAGAGAGAGAGAGAGAGAGAGAGCCCTTTTCTATGTCACACCAAAAAAGGGTAGGCCATCTACCTGGAGTTCAGAAGTTCAAAGATTGTTGGACTCTCTGTCCTAGAAATATAAAGTAAATGAATTTATACCTGGGAATAAAATAAAATTTGGAACACAAATAGCATATAAGGAGTCTTATCTTCTAACCTGCATTCTTAACACCCTCATATGGAGCCAGGATCCTAGGCCTTTGTCAAATGTGCCTAGAAATTTTAACCTGATCCAGGCTATGCTTGATCTATGCTTGATCTGGTGAATGATGAGAGTTCTAACCCATCAAGGAAGCAACCTACATGAAAATCCTGAAGTGTCTCTCATCAGCTTTGTGCCTTGGCAAACTCTTTAGACCTGTGGTTTTCTTCCAAAATTACTTAACAATTTCTGTGGTCTTAATGCTTGTGTCTCCCTCAGTGATTGTATTAGGAGATGCAGCTGGTGGAAAGTACTAAGTCACAAGTGCCCATGATTGGTATTAGTGCTCTCATTAAAAAGGTAACTTTGGAAAGCTGGAGACTACCCAGCAGCTTTCTGTATAAGCATGAGGACCTGGGTGGGGTCCCCAGACCTCAATAAAAGATGACTGCTGTAGCATGTGTCCATAACCCCATCTCTCTTATGGCAACTAGGGAGGCAGAGATGGGAAAATCCCAAGAAGCTTTGGGGCCAGCTAGCCAGCCTTACACAGTGGTGAACAAAAGATTCTGCCTTAAACAAAACAGAACTGAGGATCAACATTTGAGGTTGTCCTGTGACCTACAGATGCACACAGACACACGCACACACACACACACACAGACACACACACACACACACAGAGAGAGAGAGAGAGAGAGAGAGAGAGAGAGAAACCACAGACGACTTGCATTCCCTCTCATTGTAAAAGAAGATGCCATCTAAAAATAAGGATACTGGCTCACACTAAACACTAAGCATGTGATGTCTTGAGGTTTTCTAGCTTCCAGACCTGTGGAAAACAAATTCCTACAGTTCATACTCACCCAATCTGTGATTTTTTTTGTAGTGCCATCCCTAACAGACTAGAACAACAATAATAATGCCTATCATTAAAGTATTGTTGAGAGAATTAAATGAGGCAATGGGTATACACTCCAAGCCCAGAGCAGGATGAGGGCTTGGTAAAAACCCTTTGAAGCAGTGTTGAAGAGAGGGTAGGTGGAAATATATTCTCATCAGGTAGGATACAGAAAATGGACAGCTCCATGTTATGTTTAGACCCAGTAAAGCACTAACGAGAGGAAACCCAGTCAAAATCTGAGCCACAGAACCTGTCAAATCCTCATATGTGGATCCCGTGAAACTCACCAGCATTCTTCCATGGACTCATTAAAGTAAACAGCCCCTCTTATTTATCAATGCTATTCACCCCGAGTGAAGATGACAACAATCAATTAAATAAACAAATCAAGTCTTAAAAAGCTTAACTCAAGACAGACATGATTAATTTCCTCATCATTGATTGACATTAACTACATCAGCCAGCTTTGCTATGGTAACAAACAACCCCTGAAAATCTTCGTGGCTTATAATCATGAGTGTCACCGTGTTGTTTGCAGAGCCCGTAGGCAGCTCCATGAGTCCTCTTATTAGAGATCTTGCACTGAAAGGAAGGGCTGATCTCACTGACGACCTGCTGTTCTGACACCAGACAAAACCAAACAAGAGAACCGGCCAAGCACACCCTGCTTCTTGGAGCTTCTGAAGTGGCTTGTGCTCCTTAGGTTCAAGAAAGTCACATGGTCCAGGTGACAAGGGAGTGGATGACACACAGAGGTAGATATGGAGGCATAGAAGATTCTGTTTTCTAATCCCCTACCCCTGCCTAAAGTCCCAGGAAAATAACACAGCCACATGGGATTTGCTCAGCGTGCACCTTTAGAAGATGCTTCATGCTCTATTATCTTCAGACATTAACACACTGGCTGGGATGTGTACAGCATGGACCATATCACTGTGAAGCTTGGGTCTCCCTATTCAGCCTACAATCCTTCCTTCCTTCTCTTCTGCTGGTTCCTTTATCTCCTAGGCATTAGGACTTTTCTTCCCACCTGAGCTCACTGAGGCCATCTTGCCCATGAGCTCGAGCAGCAGCAGACGTAAGTAATTTCGATGACCTCAGCATATTCTATGTTAAAGCTGGACCCATTGCCCTCCCTCGAGGCCCATATGCCCCAGGCCAGGGCCATCAACTCCATTCCAGCCATCCCTCTAGACTGGTGCCTGAAAAACAGCATTTCTGCTTCAGGTGATGCATCTGCCACTCTCTGAATAATGCATGCCATGCATCACGCTGGACCAAGGACAAGCAGTTGAGAAATTGGGGAGCTTTCATTTGATTTCATTATTTTGCTTTTAGACCCAAGCATTTTCTCTTGTCAGGCATTTCAAAGAGGACAAGACTACAAGGTGTTCTGAGATAAGCAGGGAAGGTCGAGCATCCTTGGGGACTGATGGGAGTGTGCAGAAAAAAATGCAGGGCAGGGGCAGCCCTACCTACAGGCACACAGGCCCTGGAGGCATCCTGGCTCTGTGCTGTCTGTGGGGCTCTAAGTAAACCAGATGTAAAGAGTAAACAGGTTTGGGGGGTGTGTCTACAGAGCTTGGGGATCCACACCTCCACACACCACCCTGAGATAGAGGAGAGCAGGTTGTGTGTAGAGCTGTGATGTGGTAATTATGAACTGCAGACAGACTCCCAACCCAAGGACCAGTGTCAGAAAAGCCAGTGAGGGAATTGAGATTCCAGTGAACAGGTAAGAACTCTAGCCAAGGATGAGCCTAACCTAAGTGGGGCACCCTTTCTC